ACAAATTCATCATTATTAAAGACCATCAAATCCTTGTTTCATCAGTATTGGAGTGCAATAAAAGCCACAAATTCATATTTCCAAAACCACTCCAATTTAAGCCCCTTCATTCTTTTCCTTTCCCAATTTATTGAAAAGCTTACTTCCACATTTTTCACTTATACTATCTACATCCATTCTTCATAACTAAATAAGTGATTAAATATGGAAACAACTTCATCATTATTAAAGACCATCAAATCCTTTTTCCAACACTGTTCTATATTACCCCTCTCTTTTTAAACGTCTTAATTTTTTTCCTATGAATCTGAAGTCTGCTTTTCAACCTCAATGCCTCCAGATGTCTTTTCTCTTTACATGGATGCAGTTTTCCCCCAAACTTTTCCTTTTATACTTCCACGTTGTAATTTCAGTCTTGCCTTTCTTTTTTTTAAAAAATATATCTTTATTAATTTTTCAGACATTAATAAAACAAGAACAAACATAAACACCACCACCAACCTACACCAATACTGTAACTAATAACTTCCATGACGCCTGTTCTTAATGGCTTGCATAATTTCTGCCTTTCTACATTACTCATATATACCATTCTCCTAGGTAACTTAATATTTTCTTGCATATAATCGTGATCAACTTAAAATTCATCAATTAATTTCCATCAAACTTGCTTGATTCAAAAACATTATTCTGCTGGGATTTCATAGCTGTTATCAAACTCCCACATATTATTCTTATCAACCAACTTTCCAATCCAAAGTTACTTAAAGAGTTAACAGAAACACTTAATATAGTTATTATATAAAATAAGTCTGATAGTGCAGTGTCCTCAATTACTGCAAATAATATATTTGGTCTGTCCCATTATCTCTTAAGTTATACAAAGTAAACATGGGACCAAAGGCCCACATAGTAAATACCTAGCTAAACTATATCACCCATTAACTATATATTCAGGTCACACATTTGCATAAACTAAAAAACAAAAGTATACAACTATTGCTGCATTAGCCTGCATGCTGCCAGATAATTCATATATACTCACATCCTATTAGTGCCTAACATATCTTAAATCCTTTAATTGGCACCAATCTGTAAAGCTCATTTACAGTCATTCTATATTCTAATTCTTTTTTATTCTGGTTTTCCCGTTTTTCTTTCAAATGTCTTTGGTCTTTGTATTCTTTTAGGCTAACTACCCGATTGCCATTCCTGTGTCGTCTTATGTCCAAGTTCATGTGTTTACTGTAGCAGTCCTTAGCCTTCCTTAACACTACCATCAATCTTTTCCTCCTCTTCATCTTCTTCTTTTTCCTCCGGAGGGGGTATAACAGCCTTTTCTCCCGAACTCTTGTTTTCATCATTTTCACCTTCTCCGAAACACAACTCGATAAATCCAGTGCCTGTAGCTCAAGTTCTGTAGGTGTTTGATAGCATGCAGGTCTTCTTCTTGCTTAGCTTTCCGCTCATCTTGTCTTTGTATCTCCGTTATTTGTTCTATGTTGCGATTTTCCTCTCCATATACACATCGTGTGTTCCCCAAAATATTGTTCCAAACCGACTCAAGTGTCTTCTCTAGTTCTTCTTTTAAACATTTTTGAAAATGGTCTGACCTAAGTTCCAAAAGTATTGCATCCTTTAGCTCGGTACAAACCGCTGCCGGCGCCATTTTCTTCTCAAACTCAACTCCACTTTCGTCTCACAGTCTTAAGGTTTTAGCGATAAGTATCAAAATCCATCTAATAATTTTATAGTCCATACCAACGTTGTTAACAGTACATCCAGCCAAAGTATTTTTGCCCCGTACTTTTTCTTCAGATTTGGCTTTCCTCACACTTTCCACCGCCGCTTAGT